AAAAATTCAACAAAAAAGAATCGGAAATTCCCACTCTCTAGTGGAATAAGAGCTTCACAAGTTTAGCTCGCATCAACATCAATCAAGGAGCCAAGACTCCATTCCTAGAAAAAAAAATCAGATCCCCAGGAAGTCAACTAATTCCTTGGTGGATCACTAAAGAAATAAAACGTCATCCCTAGTGGACCTTCCCCCCAAAAAAAAAGAAGAAAGGAAAAAAGCCAGCGTAATAAAAAGAGACTAAAAAGTAAAAAGGCTTACGCATTATCCCGAAAAAGCCAAATTTCAAATCGCGATAAAAAAGAGGTAAATCGCGGAAAAAGGCGAAATCAAATGAAAATCCTTGCTCCCTAAGTAGGTCTACTCAGAAAAAGGAAAAACCAATGAAAAAGAAATAAAAAATCCCAATGAAACAAGAGTATCGGCAAAGCCATCTCATACCAATAACATCCAACAAGGAGTCAAAACTCCATTCCCTCAAAGGAGAAATCAAAATTAGATCCCCGGGAAGGCAACCAATTCCCCGGTGGATCAATCAAAAAGTGAAAAATCATCTCCAGTGAGCCTACGACAAAGGCAAATTCCAGACTCACATCTAGGCATAGGCAAGATCTGGCAAGTGAGAGCCAATTTCCCCGGAAAGGGACATTAGCCTATTCAGAGGCAAAGAAAAAAAAAACAAAACCAAAAGTCTTCACCTCCAAACGGAACATCTGCCTACTCAGAGGCATTACCAAAAACTCAATGGATATCCGCCTACTCAAGAGGCGTCACCAAGATCAACAAATCCCCAGAGGATTCCTGCCTACCTAAGAGGCACTTATCAAAAAATCCCCGACAACCAGCAAAGTCGGATGACCACCACAAAAGATCAAAATCAAAGAATCCCCAGCAATCAACAAGCTGGACGAACACCAACAGAATCCCCGGCACAGACGGGACGACAATTCCCAGAAAAGACAAAAAGCAACGAGAGAACACATCTCAACAACTGGCGCATGAGCCACCCGAGCAGTAAGCCGCCACCACCACCAGTCCTATGCACGGACTGTACCAGCCTGATAGGGGGCTTATGCCTATCAACCAGCACACAAGGAGTGCCTGAACGGTGCATGGGCCACCTGAACTGTAAGCCGCCACTACCACCCTGATGGGGGGATCAT